AGTTTGTTTTAACCTGTTATTGTGGTAGATTTTATGAAAGTCCCCACTGCACATACTGCTGTCATCTGAGCAGGTAAAGAAAGTGACCATTATTGTCCGCAAGGCATGAGAGTAGACCTGACGTCTTTGAGGGAGGTGGGTAGAATTCTGTGCTACTAGCGGACCAAAAAACAACCGCAGCTTATGCAGCTAATGTACTGACTGACTCGTAGCACAATGTTCTTAGGTAAGGAATACATCACCAGCGCATGCGCAGAACCCACTTTACCCCTGCCACTCAAGCAACGGCTGATAAGGACACGTCCGCTCTCGTGCCTCGCGGACAATACCTTCACATTAAATTTAAATAATAGTATTATTTTCAGCTTTGTAATTATGATGGCCCTGCCATAATCAGATGCTCACTATACACAACACACCCAGCTAAGTCGCAGCGATCGCCACATACTCACCGTTTGGTTGTCAGAGCAGACAGCGAGGACAAGGATGATCCACATGAGTTGCCTGTGTCACTAGAAATTGGCTATACAGCAGTGTAAGTTCCTTACAGAATACAGAAGAACCTCAGTATGTTGTGGGTGTCAGGGAAGAGCTTAAACGCATGTTTAAAGTGAAACTAATTTAATTTTGGGGTTCTTGTTTCTCTTTTTCTTTATAGGCACAGTGTTTAAGTACATACTGGCTAAAAGGCATGACCAGTTTAGTGTACTTTCAGCAGTCTCATATTTTTCAGCTGTGATAATGCTGCCATCTGTCAGTGATCCTAGGAACTACAAGGGTTGTTCAGAAAGGATTGCGACTTACATGGAATATAGGCTGGGAGATGATGGCAGCCACATAATTATACTTTATCACATTCCACACATTTCCCACTGAGGTCACTGTAGCATCATCTTTCTGGTAACTTCCTTATGGATGTAGCAAACCAATCTTTTCAGATACTATACACTGACTCACAGACATCGCTCTGCTAGGCATCACTGTTAAGGAATCAATGATCACACAGTGACTCATGTCTATCAGAAAATTCAGTAATGGTGCAAAGTCAAATTAGCACAGAAAGTGTTGGTGTTGAATGACTGCCAGGCTCCATACCAATCGTCAAACAAGACATACAACTTGAAAAACGGTGTCCGCAAATCATTGCATACTTTCATGAAAGACTGGTTTGCTGCGTCCATCAGGAAGTTACCAAAAAAAATGGCAGCATTGCATTACCCTCAATGCAGAGTGTGTAGAGCAGTGGTCCCCAACGTGGTGCCCACCAAGGCTTTTTTTGGGTGCCCACGTTGTTACAGAAAGAGGTTATACTGAATAATGAAGGCTGTTCAGCCACAAACATTATGAAATCAAAGCTCAAATCTCGACTTACTGACGCCCATCTTGACGATTGTTTTCGAGCAGCAACATCATCCTACACTCCCAAATTTGAAAAACTGACTGATGAAATGCAGCGCCAAACATCACACTAATCTCCCACTTGAGTAATAATAATTGTACTTATAAAACTACGTATTTTTGATTGCATCATTAAACGTCATGTTGTTTTGTGTATTATTTGGTGTCCATATCTTATTTGTCCAGAGAAAAGAGAATTTGACTTTGTTAATTGGTTGGTGACTGCCATGAGCTCATAAACTCTCATATGTGCCCGTAGGCACAAAAGGGTTGGGGACCACTAATGTAGAGTGAGCTGAAGGGTGAGTATGCATTTGTATCATCTCTCAACCTGTATTCCAGGAGAGTGCCAATTATTTCTGAATGACCCTTATATACTTTCTGCATCATCACTCAATAATCGCCTTCTTCCTTTGACAGGTAGAACAGGCTCATCAGTTGTTTGTATGTTGTACTGCCAGTATTATCGCTGCTAAACCGTGCCCTAAGAAGAAACAAAGATCAGTTGGTTAACATTGTTTGAGGAAATAAACTTTGTTTATTCTGAGAATCTACAAAACCCATAAATTCATTCTGTGGGCAAAGTGCAGAGCTATTGTCATTGGTTGTTAAAGCAGGTGATGCACATAGTTACCACTGGGATTTAAAGGGTTAATCATCTGGTTTTAAATGTGCATTTTTGTTTAATTCTAACTATTTCAAGAGGTGGTTGTAAACACCCACAGTCTCTACTTCCATCAACTGTCACAGTGCATTGTGAGTTTGGGCGAATTAAAATAACATCTTTCTTAATTCCTCTGGTATTAATAAATGCACTTTTGTTTAAATCTTCAGATTTCAAGGGATGGGCATTATTCATACAGCAAAAAAACACATTGCAGACGAGCTGGTAAAGAAGAAGAGATTGCGTCAGTTGGAAATGCAGCGATCTCGTAATATGAATGTTACGAGTCTTTCAACCCGGGAGGAAATCAACGTAAGTGGCAGGCTTTTGTGAACACTGTAACAATCCTGTTTGTTCTATAAAATGCAGAGTTTTTTGACTAGTTGAATGTCCTAACTTTCAAAGGACTACTCCATTTAGTTAGTGAACTGTATTTTAAATAACTGTGCTGCTCTAGATGTGACATGAGAATAAGCATGAGATGTCAGAAAAGGGTTTGAGGCAAAACTACAGCTTATCCCCAAATTTTACATTTTTTATGCAATCTAACTTCTGTGGTGATCACACAGTTTTACATATAAATGAAGGGAAGTACTGGCAACATCTCTCAAATTTCAGATCCGTGCTGAAGCAGATGCAGAAGCCAAGAAGATGAACCTGAACAGTGTGTCCCTTTGTTTTGAGGCTTTTGTCAGGGAGAATGGAGTCTTGCAATCCATCTGTTTACCAGTGTTCTCAGAGCCTATCAATAACATGAGTGAGTTTTCTTGTTATCTAATATGCATGTTTGGAATGTGTATGCAAAATCAAATTCTGGATCACGAGAAAGATGATCATTGCACTGGTGATGGAGGTAGCAAGGATTTTGGAAATGTTATTGAACTTGTACCAGATTACACTGCTACAACACAGAAGACAACCATCTTCCTATCTTTGATTAATTGTTAGTGATTGTACTAAGATTTGATCAAGTGCTTCAGATTTGTTGGTGTGGTTGTGTTGTGAGCTGTTGTATATTGCATGGGAGAAAACATTTTTTGTTTTTATTCATCCTCTCTCCTCCAATTTTGTTTAATGTATGGGGTACTTAAAGATTTCTGTCTTCTGGGTTGTTGCTCTTCTTTACAATAAATGTTCTTATACCTCTTTTGCTTTTATGATGCTTTAACAGTCATTTATCAATACGTCTGCAGTTATACTACTAAAAGTTAAAATATTTAATCTTACCAGCAAACCCATATTCAGTTATAGGTCTGGTTACTTAAAAATAATTCTTGTTGGGTTTACTAAGCATCAACAACAAAAATTTTACCATAAGTTTGGAAGTAGTTGGCTTGTTCCTTGGGTTAATTATAAAGAGGCTCAGGTACATGTACCTATTATAAAAAAGCCATGCCACTACACACCTATGCAGGCACTTGGGGGTGAGTGGAGGTATAGCTCCTCTCATTCTTGACCTTGGCACTAGATGGGGGTGAGTGGTTGTTAGCATCATGCCCCTGCCACGTTTTACCCCCAGGGAAGGACCCCTATACGCATTGGATAAGAGGCTGGATGGGTCCCAGAGCAGGTTTGGACGTACAGGCTAGAGGAAAAATCCTCTGCCCCCATCCAGGATCAAACCCCAGTCGTGCAGCCCATAGGTAGTCATTATACTGACTGAGCTATCCTGGCTCCTCCATGTTCCTATTGTACATTTGTTTTTTTTGTTTTTATTTTTGTGAAGGAAGTGATTCTTGTTACCTGTAAGTCACATTAAATCTTGAGATGGACACAAATAAGTCAAAACAGCAATTTTGTTTTGAGTCTGAAACTATGTAATGTATTTATTTCAGTCACAGGAGAATGGAGCACTGATAGTTTCCAAACTATTGCAGTTAAGAGTATCCCTCCCCCCCCCCTTATGGTAAACTATCAGTCATTTTATTTGGTGAATTCATCAAGTGTCAGTTTAAAAATGCCACCACACTGCTGCACATTTTCCCATTTGACACATTTGCAGCCTTCATGTTTTGTTGTTCTTTCAGAAAGTGCTCTTACTGGGGAACTTAAAATCTGCCGCATCGACAAGCATGTTAGCAGCTGTTTGGGGAATGAAGAAGTGTTTATCTTGGTTGAGAAAGTGGGGAAAAGTGAGTATATTTACTGTGAACTTTGCATGTATTGGTTTTGAAACGTAGGAAGAGCACCTTCCTTGGAGTGAATCAGAGGATGAGTTACTCTCGCTTTGACAGTATAGTCTGTAGTTCACTAAAAGTTGTAAGTTTGATCCATATATTCATGAAACATGAACACTTATATTACATCTTTAACATTAATAATTTTAAATGATTTCCATTGCACCCTTTTATTTCAAACGACATGAAATAAGTAATGCAGATTTGTAGACTTCAGAAGTAACATATTTTAATACAGCACTACAGAAGGAGCTTTAAAGAACATGATAAAAGATTGAACTCTGGTAAGACAGTGCGTTTGCTGAGATGTAGTAATGCTTAGGAATAACCGCAGAAGGATTAATGGCCTTAAGAGACCTACTAGACCTGACATTAGGAAGAAGGTGTGACCATTTCGTTGCGTGTAAGAAAACTACAAAATCTGCCTGTTTTCTTCATCTGCCTGCTGTTTGTATTCATGTGATGCAATTCTGCAGGCATAATATGAAATTCATTCTTTCTTATGTTTTAATTACCTTCCTTTTGCTTTAGAAAACATCAAGATAAAATTTTTTGAGTTGGATGATGAGGACAATGAGATTTGGTGTGACTATGGGAAGTTCTCCGAATTGGATGTTCACCACCAGTATGCCATAGTGTTCCGCACACCACCATACCGTGACACAGAAATTGACAAGACTGTGGATGTCTACTTGCAGCTGTACCGCCCCACTGATGGAGACTGCAGTGAACCAATTAAATTTGCTTACAAACCATCAGAAAAGACAGGTATAGTCCATTGAAAGTAACTGACCTCATAATGAGTGTAGCAAGTACTTTTTTTTTGTGTGTGTGTGTTTTTAATTTCCTTGCTTATGTTTGTAAGGAAGATTAACCCTCCTTCATAGTGAACAGTAGGGTTCTGTCTGTCAGGCCTGCCATCATCTGCATGGAACTGAATCCTTCTGTAGAAACTAATAGTTACTCGGCTAGTCGTCTAGTCAAGAAACGTTCCTGCTCTGATGGTCCTGATCTGAGCCAGATAAATTAAAATCCACATCCTCCCTTTGTATATAAGATCCATTTTAACATTGTCTTCCCATCTGTACGTAGGTATTCCAGGTAGTTTCTTTTCTTCAGCTTTTTGGATCATAATTTTGCATGTATTTCTCTGCCAGTTGTGCTACATGCCCCACTCTTTTCATCCCTTTAAAAAGTCTGAATATGATGTGTTGACTCCCATCTAAAACCATATTTGTCCAAAAATATCTCCATTGCATGTTGCTTTCTATTTTCTTGGCCAATATTAATGTAATATGTGTATTTACTTTAAAATTGTAGACATAAATAATCTGCTATTACACTTTATTTATGTTTTAATTTTAGTTAATTGTCTGAAAGCTTTACTTACTTCAAAATGTTCTGAACTATAATTTTGGAACCTGTTCAAATATTAATCTCTGAAATATATATATATATTACAAGGATCAAAAACTTGTTTTCTCTATGCACTTAAATTATCCATAACTTCTTGACTACTGTAGGTCGGGCAGCCAGGAAGCGACAGAGGACTTCACTAACAGACGACATTCCAGTGGCAGTGGTTCGTGGCCACGTGTACAGCAACCCAATGCTTGGGCAGGCTGCAACAGTTTCTCCTTCTCCTCCTCCTCTAGCAAATCAAGATTGTGATGGTTTACTTGATCTGGGAAATTTTAAGACCCCGCCTGACTTGTTTGAGGCTGTGTTAAATGAAGATGCTGCCAATGGCATGAACTCAAATGAATTCAAGGAATTCATAAGGAACTTGTCCTATTCAAGTAAGAGATTGCCCTTAATTCTCATTGCTGCATTATGAACCTGTCTGTAGTTGAAACAAGGCATTTGATAAAAATAGCAAAGTTTGTATTATACAGAAACTTTTGTGCTCAGCCTCACCCTTTGTCTACTGAAACATTAATGCAGCATTTGAAAGAAGTGCATCATATAATTTACATTCAATGTCTAAGAGAACAATTTTACGTTACAAGATGTGCATTGTTTTCAGTCTATTTTATACTAATGGCAGTTTTACAAAAACAGGTACAAAGATGTACTGTATAAAATTTCCTGCTATTGCTATGTTTTCTGGAATACTTGCCCCATGAAAGAGTGAAACTAATAATCAGTTTCCTGTCAATTTTTTTATATATGTGACAGCTGAACCTTTCAAAATGTGTACGGTAATTCAGCTTACTAAATAAATCCGAGTTTTGATGAGCACAAATTTTTGGCTCTGTGGAAGGTTATCTGGCTTTTATTTAAAGTATGTTAGGCGGTTGTTATTATTTCAGGGTTCGCAGTCTGAGGCGTGGGCCTTGTGCCGCTTGGTCGCAGGGACTGTAGGTTCGAATCCCACTCAAGCCATGGATGTTTGTCTGTATTGTGCTGTCCCGTGTACAGGTAGAGGCCTTGCGACGGGCTGATCCCTCGTCCAAGAAGTCCTACCAAAATGTCTATAGATCGAACCAACGAAAAGTTGGGACCCACAGTGCTCAGGCACTTGAAGAACGGGTTGTCCAAGTAAGTTATTATTTCAGGTCTGGGATCATCATATGCAGAAACGTTTGAGAACACTGAATTTTTTCAAAAGGAAGGAGCTTTTCCAAATGTCACAACAATGGACATTAGCACAGATGGAACCAGCAGGTCGAAGGTTAAGAAACGAGGTGAGTAGTAAAAGTTCAGTATGTAGAACCACATTTATGTACATGTTTTATTATTGTGGAGTTAAATCATTGAATACAGATACTTTGAAGCTTATTACATTGATAAAATGTGAACACTTTTATATTAAAAAGGAATGTATTAATCCTTCAGAGTTAAAGATTGTCTAAATATTTAAGAATTTAGTCCTTACTATAAAGAAAACACAACTGTTCACCAGATCAGCTTGTTAATACTGTTTAGGGAAATAATCCCCGTTGTTACAAAACACATTAATACAATGGAATTGATTCTAAAAGCAGGTGGTCGTATAGTTACCACTCAGCTTTAAAGGGTTAATCAACAACTGAGCAGAATTTTAAGGTTGTGTGGACAAAGTCCTGGCGTGGACACCAGCTGCTAAGTGGGTTTTTTTTTGCAGTTCCTCCATGTAAATCAGTTAGCCCTTCATTCTTCCCAATATTTAGCTTGTGGATATTACAAAGCAATACAATAGTTACGTATTTTTAAAATTTTTATAACTGGCTAATATTTAATGATTTATACACATTACATAGGAAATTTGATGCTTGCTGATAAGAAGCAAGTTCATTAGTAGAGTTTTTTCCAGTACTGATTCAAAGATTATTCCATGATGACCCTGTTATTGGAGTCTCGTCATTTAAAACAGGATATACCGTGGTGATGATGTTTTAATAGAAAACACAATGGACACCCTTTGGTACCACTTTAATGCCAACCTTTTCTGTCTGTTTTTAGTTAGATCATTTAAGTGAACTGAACGTACAAAAGTCCTGTCATTCTATAATTGCTTCCATGAATTGAGAGTATTATTGGAAAGTCAGTTTCGGACTTGGAATTCCTGATTGTTTTTTTAATTATGTTTACTTATGTGTATGTTGGGGACAAATATTTGGTTATCTTCATGTTGTCAGGGTTATTGACTTTGTTGGCGTCCCATTGCGGATTGTTTCAGTCCCATTATCAAGCAGAGAACCAGGTGTTGACACAACTGTTGCTGCGAAATTTAGTCGTGTATCAATAGAAGAGGATAAGAAGGAGCAGCTCAGGGGCAACATGACGATGGTAAGTTTTTTCCTTCTTGTATGTAGTTGCTAGTAACATTGACTTTTATGTAAGATTTGAGGTTTTCACAGCTGTGAGTATGAAGATTTCTGTCTTCTGGGTTGTTGCGCTGTGTAGTCTGGTTGATGTTAACCAACATTTCAGATGACGGAGGCAATATGACCTCTGAAACGTTGGTTAACATCAACCAGATTACACAGCGCAACAACCCAGAAGACAGAAATCTTCATTGACTTTTATGTTTGTCTTTATCTCAACAACAAGCAAAGAAAACGAAGCACTGTCCATATGTGGCATTTTGGTTAACAAACCATTCTGTTCTCCATAACCTGTTTTGGAGGAAGTGAAATGATCGTTCTTTGGATGAAACTATATAACTCTAGGGGGGGATTGCATTTACTTTACCATTTACCATACTTGCTCTTCCTCAAAACACTGAATGGTTATAATGTGTAGAATAGTATTTTACCTGTTTTGTGTTGTTTAGTTGTGGGGCATCTCTTGCATGAAGGAAGCATATAAATTGTAGGTGTCTGAAAATTAAGTGATCAAGAACATAATAAAACCTAAGAGAAATAACTGATAAGTAGGAAATGAATGACATTTCATAGTTTTTAAAACATTGCTCATTTTGTTAAGTTGACACTCCATCTACACAACAATTTTTGATTATAGTTTCAATGTAGTGGATTCTTAATAAACGTTGAAGCTGTAATCAAAAATTGTTATGTAGACGGACTGTCAACATTCAACGGGATGTATGCATTAAAAAAATTGCTCAAATCATTTCCTACTTTGAATAGTGGGAGGAAATAATATTGAGTGAGGGAAATTATGTAAGAAATATGTAAATACAACCATGAGAATATCTTTAATACACACCTTTTAGTTCCTCATTTAGTATTTTTGATATAATTAAATATTCATAATGTTTTATTCTCTGTATTTGGAAAGATTAATTTAAGTTGCTATGTCATTTAATAAATCTGAGGTGAGATGCTTTGAAGTCTTCTCAGGTGGTCAATCGTGTAAGTATGGAATTACAGTTTAATTGAAATCAACCTGATGGAGTCAGAGACAGTGTGAAATGCTAGATTGCAGCTTCATCCTTACACTGCTGAACACCCAGGAAGACTTTTTTGCATTCAGTTGCTGTGGAAGCTTTTTCCACTGTCTATACTAGGACTTACAAGCAGCTTGATGATGCTGAAGTAACGTAGAATTGTCGAATGGTTTGTATCGCCATAAATTTTCTAATGTATGTTGTATTGACAAGCAATCAGTCAATGTGAATTTTGTAGGATGGTGAACACTTGGCTAAGTGGGCTGTGGCTAACTTAAATGAGATGCTGCTAGAAAAGCCACCACCACAGATTTTGGCTTCGAAAGTTCGTGAAATCTTTTCCAAAAAGAGAGAAGATGGAGACGGGTAAGTTACCTTCAATAGTGGTTAACTACGGTTCTGTTCGAGTAGCTGGCAATTGAGTTGATAAGACAGATTGGCATTTTCCACGGAATTATGAGAATTATAAAGCGCTCATTAGTAATTGTGGAGTTTATTGTAACATTTCATTCATCCACTTATGTGAAATGTAGTGAGCTGTGATGATCAGGATAAATTTAATTTTGCAGCTGAGGTTATTGTTGAAGAAATATTTTATTAATTTGAATATGTATTAATATATGGGTTTATCAACTAATGTAAGTAAGTTCTATAATTGTTTCTCATTAATTGATTGAATTTGGACTTCATTATTTCCTGCATCCTGGTTCTGATAGATTTCCTCAACTTGAACATGGTTATTTATGATAACTTTTTCACAGACAG